GGACAGCTGGAAAAAGAAATTTGGGGGGACAGAGGAATGAGGGAGAAATAGCAGGTAAACAAAATTAAACTCCAGAGAAATTGGATCAAAAATGGATGAATGAATTGAAATCATCCAAGAAGCGTTCTGCTCTTTATATTTACTAATATCATTCTGTATTTGTCCTGTATTTGTATTTCTGATTTGCAGTATTCTGGTGCCCTCTAGAGAAATATCTTGCAAATGGCAAGATAATTGGTTGTCTCTCACTATATTTCTTACTTCTCAATTAGAGTTCTGGTTTTTACTATTAACCTGATCTCAAGAGAGAAATTTGAATAGAGATTAGGCTTCATTGCCTTTTTCCTCCTTTATCCACTCTATTTGTTAGATACCTGCAATGAATTCTTAGTTCATTAATACTTAGTGCATTTTATTTTGTTTGATTTTTCAGTTACTGATCTCTGGGGTCCAGCAACAGGAGTAAAGGGAAATCTGATACCAGAAACAAGAAAGTGATTGGGAAGAGAGAGAGAGAGAGAGAGACAGACAGACAGACAGACAGACAGACAGACAGGCAGACAGACAGACAGACAGACAGACAGACAGACAGACAGACAGACAGACACAGAGACAGAGACAGAGACAGAGACAGAGACAGAGACAGAGAGAGCGACAGAGACAGAGACGGAGACAGACACACACACACACACACTCACACACACACAGAGAGACAGACAGACAGGCAGGCAGGCAGACAGACAGACAGACAGACAGACAGACAGACAGACAGAGACAGACAGAGAGAGAGAGAAAGAGACGAAGACGGAGACAGAAACACACACACACACACACACAGAGAGAGAGTGAGTGAGAGAGTGACAGAGACAGAGACAGAGACAGAGAGACAGAGAGAAGAGAAAATGAGGATAATTTTATATCCCTTTGGAACATGCTAGGTGTAGAAATCCACAGATTTTTCCATGGAGTTAAGTCCTCTGAAGGAATTGAATCTCAAAAGGGAAAAATATCTTTTGAGTTTGTTGTTCAGTTGCTAAGTTGTATCGAACTCTGCAGCCCTATAGCACACCAGGCCTCCCCATCCTCCCCTATCTCCCAGAGTTTCCCCAAATTCATGTTCATTATATCAATGACACTAACCATCTCATCCTCTGCTGTCCCCTTCTCCTTTTGCCTTTCATCTTTCCCCAAAATCAGGGTCTTTTCCAAGGAGTCCTCTCTTCTCATGTGGTGGCCAAAGTATTTGAGCTTCAGTATCTATCCTTCCAAAGAACAGTCAGTGTAGATTCCCTTTAGGATTGACTCAATGGATCTCTTTGCTTTCAAGAGTCTTTTCCAGCACCACAATCTGAAAGCAGCAATTCTTCAGCACTCAGCCTACACCCAACCTAAATCAGGAAAAAAAACAAAACACCCACATCTACTGTCTCCTCGTGTTCAAAATAAATATATGTGATTTCCATGCCATCAAGAGTGTACTTACTGTTATAAAATTTTGGAACATATTAAAGAAATAGCTGGAAGAAATTTTGCTAATAGATATAGAAGCCAAACTGGATTTTTTTTATTGGGAATTATAGAAAGAAAATATAAGAAAGATACAAATAATTTACTACTGCATATACTAACAGTGGCACGGATAGCCTTCGCTCAAAAATGGAAAGAGAAAGATACTCCAACCGAAGAGGAAATATTACTGAAAATCTTCAATTGCGCTGAAATGGATAGACTTACATGGAAACTCAAGGATAAAAGTGAAACTAAGTACTGCAAAATCTGGGAACAATTTTATGATTGGATAGACAATAAGAGGGTAGCCAAGATGAATGTATAGTGTTAGAATAAAATATAGATTATAGACAAATGTATATTTAAAAGATAAATAGATATACAGAAATAAGGGAAAAGTGCTAATATTATATTATATTATAAATAGTGAGCAAAGCTCAAGAACTATATGTCTATATGAGTACTAATACTATTGTAAAATGTTGGAAAATGTATGGAACCAGTGACATCATATCTATGTCTAATGTGTTTTTAATTTTGTATTATTAATAAAAAAATTAAAAAAGAGTGTGCTTACTGTTATGCTTTATTACAGTTCAAATAAATAAGCAGACATAATTCATTGTAGGTAGTTGGATCTAGCTAAGAGCTGTGTTGGTGCAGTGGTTAGAATGTAGAATTGCAGGCTAATTCTGCCAACTGCCTGGAGTTCGATCTTGACTGGCTCAAGGTTGACTCAGCCTTCTATCCTTCTGAAGTTGGTAAAATGAGGACCCAGATTGTTGGGGACAATATGCTGACTCTGTAAACCGCTTAGCGAGGGCTGTAAAGCACTGTGAAGTGGTATATAAGTCTAAGTGCTATTGCTATCTATAGGGTAGAATGGGTTTGTCATCATCTATTTCAGCTGAATTTAATAGCACAGAGTTGGAAGGGATCTTGGAGGTCTTCTACTCTAACCCCTGCTCAAGCAGGAAACCCTATACCATTTCAGAAAAAGTGTTGTCCAATCTCTTCTTAAAAACCTCCAGTGTTGAAACATCCACATTTTTTGTTCCACTGATTAATTGTTCTAACTGTCAGGAAATTTCTCTTTAGTTCTAGCTTGGTTCTCTCCTGGATTAGTTTTCATCCATTGCTTCTTGTTCTGCCTTCAGATGCTTTGAGGAATTTGGTGACCCCCTCTTCTTTGTGTCAGCTCCTTAGATACAGTATTGGTACACTGCTATCATATCACCTGCACCCCTATTCCTTCTTTCCATTAAACTTTCATTAAACATTTCAATGACTGAGTCCATTTTTTAAAATGTTTTTTTTCTGGGAGACATTACTCCAAGAATTCAAATGCTTTCATTGTCTGAATTTTGATCTGCTGCCTGGAACAGAAATGCCCAGTCAGAATCAGTTTCCTGTTTTTGCTCGGAGGATCAGGCAAAATCAGTCAGTGTGCATCTCTAGCACAATAATACATGGCAGTGTCAGATGTTGACATGGAGGTCAACTGAAGGGAGTATTCATTCTTGGAGTTGTCTGAAGTAATGGTGGTGCGGCTTTGAAGAGAAGATGAAAACCATTTTCTCCCATCATAGGGGTAGATTCTGGCAATCCATTCTAACCCTTTTCCAGGAGGCTGACGGACCCAGTTCCAAACATAGCTGCTACTAGTGATGGAGACACCTGTAACTTTACAGAGCAAATTGAGATTTTGTCCTGGTCTTACAGTTTCAGGCCCCGATGATACAAGCTGAACCTCAGAAAGGGACCCTAGAGAAGTAACAGAAATAAAAATTAGAATTCACGTACATCAGAAAAAGAAATCATATTGTCACTTTCTGTAAAATTGTATACTCACATTTTGGCATGGTTATCAGAAAAAAGAAAAACAGACCGTAATTCATAATGGTTCCTTAAACAAAATTTCCTCCCATTCAACATATACACTTTGATGAAAATGTGGCAACCAAATAGAGAGTTCTGCTTTTAAAGGAGAACACCTTATGATATTTGCATAAATCAGTGGGCTATAAAGTAGCTCTTAGAAAGCTCATCTTGCCTTCAGACATTGTAGGTGCTTCATCACTGGAAGTCTTTAAGAAGAGACTGGACAGCCACTTATCTAAAATGAAATAGGGTCTCCTGCTTGAACAGCGGGGTGAACTAGAAGACCTCCAAGATCCCTTCCAGCTCTATTCTCATTGATTGATTGATCGATTGATTGATCGATTGAGACACCTGTAACTTACACAGCGAATTGAGATTTTGCCCTAGTCTTATAGTTCCAGGCTCTGATGATAACAGTCCCATCAAAATGGGACACTAAAGAAGTAGGGCAAAAAGACAAAAATAACATGAAGATTCAGTATCAATATTACTATTGATTCATATTAGCATCCTATGCCTGAAAATATGGATGATCTTCTCCAAGGGGTTTATAGGCTTATTTTTCATCTATCTATCTATCTATCTATCTATCTATCTATCTATCTATCTATCTATCTATCTATCTATCTATCTATCTATCTATCTGATAGATATTGATATTGATATTGATTCAGTATCAATATTACTATTGATTCATATTAGCATCCTATGCCTGAAAATATGGATGATCTTCTCCAAGGGGTTTATAGGCTTATTTTTCATCTATCTATCTATCTATCTATCTATCTATCTATCTATCTATCTATCTATCTATCTATCTATCTATCTATCTATCTATCTATCTATCTATCTATCTATCTATCTATCTATCTGAAGTTTCCTTTATTCTATTAAACCATTCTTTTCATTTTACATGGAAAACAGGAGCTATGCTCCACAGCAATAAATGAATGTGAATTTATTATTTTATTTGATTAATCAAATTTCTACACTACCCACCTCATCAAATTACTCTAGAAGATTAATTAAGCCTGTTTATTGCTAAGCTCACTTACACAACATTTTTGGCATTTGCTTATTTAAAAAAGAATTGAACCATCAGTCAGTTATTTTCTCACCAAAAAAACAAAACAATTATCTCAGTGGGGAATCACCATATTTTCAGAGCTATTTCAAAACATCAAAGATGGCAGAGAAGGGTGTATAAATGAACAATCACCAAGTTATATGTTAGGTTATAAAGTAGTTCTTGAACCCCAGGGAGTTTGGCACATGAGGCAATAAAGGGTCTGTCAGATTCATTGCTTCAAGTTCCCTTCCTATCCAAGGTGCAAATTTGCACTCAAATGGATAGAAAATGATAGATTTTTTCATTAGTTGCATTCTGAGATATAAACCTTGGATTAATCATTTGGTTCATCATTGGAATCTATGCTTCTCCATGCATAGGATGGAAGACACAGATATTTTCAGCTAAACATGCAGGAAAGATGTTGTTCCTTTTGATATTCTTGGGGCACAAAGAAGTTACACAGAGCTGCCTTACAAATAATGTTTTTCCTGTTCCACATGAGTGGTACCAGCCTGGTGACTTCATCATTGGTGGGATAATGTCTCATATTGTTTACCACTTTTATGAAATTCAATTTAAGGAACATCCCCCTCTGAAACCTTTTGATTTACCAATGTAAGATTTTTTTTCTAACCTTAATCAGATTCTCAAAAATTGCTTAAATGAGTATAAAAGCTGCTTGAGCATAAAAGTAGTTCCATATGGAATCTAAAAATTCTCCACGTTTCAAAGAAATGTAGTTGTGAGGAAGAAATAGGGTTTTTTTTCCCCATTGCATTCAAGTCTTTCTCATGAAATGAATGAAACTTTGGCGTAATATGTTTTTGAAGAACATTGTGTGATATCTTGGAGAAAAAAGTAATTTATTTTATTTCTTATAGGACATCACTGTTGCACATAATGGAAATATTGTCTAAAAAGTAGAAAATATTTGGGGTTAGATACGTTTTGCAAATCATGGGAATACCATGGAAAAAGTAAATTTGAACTTTCTGAAAATGTTTAAGTCTTTTAGAAAGGCTATTATATTCCTAGTTCCACGAGATATAGAATAGATTTTTATTCATAGAGAAGTAATATCACCTTACATAAACAATTTGTCTGAAATTGTATAGGGTTTCCTTCCTGAGCAGGGGGTTGGACTAGAAGATTTCCAAGGTCCCTTCCAACTCTATTATTCTATTCTATTCTATTCTATTCTATTCTATTCTATTCTATTCTATTCTATTCTATTCTATTCTGTTCAATTCGATTTATTCTTATTTCTATTCTGTTCTGTTCTACTTTACTCTACTGTATTCTAAATTGTCAATTTTTTCAATGGGTTTATTTAAATTATTTGCAGTGTAATAACCAAATTCTACCAGCATGTCCTTGCCTTGGCCTTTGCTGTGAAGGAGATCAATGAGGACCCGCAAATCTTACCTAATGTCACCTTTGGGTTCCACATCTATGACAGTTACTACAATCCAAGGATGACCTATCGCACCACTCTGGACCTGCTTTTCAAATCTCAGGAATTTTATCCTAACTACCAATGTGATAGCAAGAAGACTCTCATGGCAATCATTGGAGGGTTAGGTTCTGATACTTCATCTTATATAGATGAAATTGTAGGTTTCTTCAAGATTCCACAGGTAAATATTTAAGGCCTGAGGAGGAAAATTCTATCTGTTTCTGTTATTATGGCATAATTATTGATCATCAGATATAAGTCTTAGATTTGTATTACAAATTTCTGCAGGGCTTAAAGTAAAGTACATAGCACTCTTTTTTTGAAACTACGATCATAGAAGTAAATGTCCCAAAGTATCCTGGGTCATCCATATCTGAGGGAAGATTTAAATGTAGTTCTCTCTGCTCCTATTAAAACCATTGACCCATTATGTGTGTTTGAAATAATCCCTAGAAATTCCATTCTATATTTAGAGGAATTCTAGGGGGAAAAAATCCTTCCTGTCAGAATGGCCATTTCATGCCTGCACAATGTTATTGCTCAATGCCAGTCTGCCATGAACTCGGGGGTGGGGAGTAGAAGGAGATGTTTAGGAGGGGGAAAGACTATTCACCATAGCTTCTCAAGGTCAGACAGCTGGGAATGGCATTCAGTTGCATACTGGCAAACCCCAGTGGAAGAGACCATTTCCAAAACACTTCATTTGAATATTATTGTAGAATAGAATAGAATAGAATAGAATAGAATAGAATAGAATAGAATAGAATAGAATAGAATAGAATAGAATAGGAGATGGAAGGGACCTTGGAGGTCTTCTATTCCAACTCCCTGCTCAGGCAGGAAACCCTATACCATTTCAGACAAATGGTTGCCCAATCTCTTCTTTAAAACTTCCACTGTTGGAGCATTTATAACTTCTGGGGGCAAATTGTCCCACTTATTAATTGTTCTCACTGTCAGGAAATTTCTTCTTAGTTCTAAGTCGCTTCTCTTCTTGATTAGTTTTCACCCATTGTTTCTTGTCCTGCCTTCACGTGCTTTGGAGAATAGCTTGACTCCCTCTTCTTTGTGGCAACCACTGAGATATTGGAACACTGCTATCATGTCACCCCTAGTCCTTCCTTTCATTAAACTAGACATACCCAATAGGAAACCAACAGTAGGGAGTGACCTAGGGGAGGGAACTTAAACCTAGGGATTTAGGCACACACACCTCAGTTCTGGCTTTGTTCTATGGTAATTCACTTGAATTATGATAAAACTATACCTTTTGCAACAAAGGAGCTAAGGATCATTTTTCTTAGGAGTCCTAGTGGAGGCAGTGTTGACACTTCCTTGGATATATTTACATGAATCCTTGATCTGAAAGATCACATCAAGAGCTAACAACTGAACAGAATACTATGTTGCTTTCTTTTAGCTCACATATGGCTCATTAGGCGAAGAGAAATTTCAGACCAGTAAGCAATCTTCATTTTATTTCATGGTCCCCAAAGAGAACCATCAGTACGTTGGGATTATCCAACTGCTTCATCATTTCAGCTGGACATGGATTGGGATTTTTGCTGTAGATAACAACCATGGAGAATATTTTTTACAGAAAATGGAACCCTTACTTTCACAGAATGGCATCTGCTCCTCGTTCATTCAAAGGCTTCCACAACTCATCAACCTGGCAGACTACAAAGATCTTTATCACCAAATTTCTAGTATTTCCATTAATTTGATGAATAGCAAAGTCAATGCATTGCTTGTCTATGGAGAATCATTGGCAATAATGACTCTCAGAGGTGTCACATTTTTGGCAGATTCTGAAAATAAGAAAACTGCATTACTTGGAAAGATGTGGATAATGACTGCACAGATTGATTTTGCACTATCAGGCATTCAGATCACATGGGATCTCCAGATGTTCCATGGGGCTATTTCCTTCACTGTTCATTCAAGAGCAGTTGCAGGTTTCAAAGAATTCCTTCAGACCATAAAACCATATTCAGTCTACAGAGATGAGTTTCTGCACAATGTTTGGGAACAATCATTTGATTGTTCATTTCCAAAACCAGAGTTACATGAAATACACAGTAGGAAATGCAATGGGGAGATGAAGCTGGAGGATCTTCCTGGGCCTGTGTTTGAAATGGAAATGACTGGCCAAAGCTATAGTATCTACAATGCCGTTTATGCTGTGGCTCATGCTTTGCAGGCTCTACTCATTTTGAGGTTCACAAAGAAAAACACCATGATGGATAAAAAACTTGATCTTCCAGATCTGCAGTCTTGGCAGGTATTCTTTCTCCACTGAACGCTTCCTTTATTGCATTGAGAAGTCTGATGTAGTATTATGTTTGGAACCAATTATGCAAAGTTTTAATATCTTATGCTTGTAAAATAAAGTTATTCATAAAGAGAATGGGCTCCAGCACGAGTCCAAAGCTCAGAATATAAAACCTCTGGTCCTGATGACTGACCCAGATTGAATCCTGCAGTAAAGTTAATGTGTGATCATTGAGAAGCTACTATATAAATCATGATTAATGTGTTAATAGGATTTGTGTAGGAAGTCATAAGAATTTGCACAGTAAAAGATGGTTAAAATGAAGTCCTTGATCACTTCCATTTTGGTTGTCTACAAAAGTTATCAATAGTCCAAGTTACTTCTGTTTAGCTCATAGTGGAGAAACTTAGCATACTCTCACTATCAGAATTCAAGAAGGATGCACTAAAAGATGGTCCTTTTCAGCTGTAGCCTCCACCATTTGGACAAACTATCTTTGAAAGAATCTCTCTCTTTGTCCTATCTATAGAAAAACACTCACATTCTAAAAGCAATCCAAACCAAATTTATCTCTCCCAGGCTCCAAAATAGCTTTGTACCAATTAAGAAGGAAAAGTTGAAGATAAGATGAGATACTGTCAAAGTTTAATTTAAAAAAAAAATAGTGCTCTTTTTATTATGCTTTTGTTTCTTGGTATTGTTTCTTGTCCTTCCTTAAAATAATATGAATTTAATAATAGAATACACCTGTACATATCCGTGTAATATTTGTGATCAATTTTCTAGGTGTAGCTGTCTGATAATTGTTATAGAAATGGGAAGAATGTATCAATGAAACTTGAATATACTGGTCTTTTCTCCATTGTTATCCTTTCAATTCCCTCTCTTTTTATCTCTTTTAAGTAGCTCCATCCATTTCTTCAAGGCATTTCTTTTAACAATTCAGCTGGGGAGAGAGTGTCCCTGAATGAAGAAGGAGCAGAAACAGGTGGATTCGACATAATTAATTTCATCCCTTTTCCAAACAGATCCTTTCAGAGAGTTAGAGTTGGAAAAATAGATCCTCATGCTCCAAAAGGGAAGAAATTATTCATTGATGAAGAGAGGATTGTCTGGCACCCAGCTTTTAACCAGGTAAGGACACATTTAATGGACTGTATAGTGATCCATTATGATACCATAATAATAATAATAATAATAATAATGATAAAGTTGGAAGGGACCTTGGAGATCATCTAGTCCAACCCCCTGCTCAGGCAGGAAACCCTATACCATTTCGGACAAATGGCTGTCCAGTCTCTTCTTAAAGATGACTTTAAAGCCATATTGAACATAGTCTCTTTATAAATCTAATTTCTCTTTCTGAATTTTTTTTAAAAAAACCTATATTCTATACAAATGCTGACCATGTTCAAGCATTTACCCAAACTGATAAAATGACATTACAATGTAAAAGCCAGATTTTCATATCTGAGCTGCATTTCCACTTGAAATTATGGGAGTCACATTGTTTCCATAAGATTGTCATCAGGCACATTTATTCACTCACCCTGCTCTTCTTTAAGCAAGCCACTGAAATTCTTTCTCTCCATAAAGGAGAATAATTAGGAATTATTTTTTTAAAAAATCTCTTTTTGAAAAACCTTTATGTTTATGACCAGGTACTTCCAATTTCTCTGTGTAATGACCATTGTTCCCCTGGAAATTGGAAGAAAGGGACAGAAGAAAAACAATTCTGTTGCTATGACTGTGTTCCATGCCCAGAAGGAAAGATTACAAATCAAAATGGTAAGTTAAACCAGGGGTCCCCAACCCCTGCTCCGTGGACCACTACTCAGCCATGGCATACCAGCAACAAAAAAGCAAAGCCCCATCCTCGGGATGCAGGCAGCATACAAAACCACACAGAGGAAAAACCTCTCTCCATGGAACCAGTCTCTGGTGCCCAAAAGATTGGGGACCTCTGAGTTAAACAATCCACCATGTTTTCATTAAATACCCCTAAGCAAATACACTGTGTTAGCATGCATATAATTAATAGTTTTACTAGTTCTTCAGAGTGAATAATCTTTTTTTCTGGATCACAATTTATTGTTCAGGAGTCAAAGATTGCCCATGATATTTTGGCAGGTAATGTTTCCTATACAGAGCCCATCTATATGTCTGCCTGTCTGTGTATCTATCTCTCTCTATCTCTATCTCTCTATCTCTGTATCTATCTCTGTATCTATCTCTGTATCTATCTCTGTATCTATCTATCTCTGTATCTATCTATCTATCTATCTATCTATCTATCTATCTATCTATCTATCTATCTATCTATCTATCTATCTATCTATCATCTGTGTCTGTCTGAGTCTATTTTATCATCTATCATCCATCTCTCTCTCTCTCTCTCTCTCTCTCTCTCTCTCTCTCTCTCTCTCTCTCTCTCCCTCTCTCTCTATCATCTTTTATCTGTACATTCAGTCATTGATCTTCTATTATGATCTATAACTATTCATTTGTTTTTCACATTTTAAAATTGTTTGTATTAGTTGTTCTTTTCCTAAAGATTGTTCACAGAAGAAACAAAATATCATGATTTTTCTAATAAACTCAGGAAATATTTAGCATTTCTTTAAAAATTCTACCTTGGTGTCTCCTATCTTATGGTGACAATATTCATAACTTTGAGGAAAACCCAACCATTGTTAAGTCCAGCTAAGAAAGTTGCATAGTTACTATCTGAATGGAAGATCACCAGCCAATGTGTACAGTAGATTGGGAATTAAAGAATTAATTGGGAAAAAACAGGAACAATTTATTTTCTTCTTTTCAGAAACATGAATATATCATTGAAGTCTATGGGCATTGAATTAACTCAGAAACTTGTTTATCTTTTCTACCTCTTTGTTTATGGGCTACATGAAATTAAAATAAGGAGAATCAACTTAGATAAAGTTTTATTTAAAATTTAAATCAATGTTAATCTAAAGCAGGGGGTCTCAACCTGTGGACCGTGGCCCACTACCAGGCTGTGGTCTGCTGGCCAGCAGGCTGTGGAACAGGCTGGCCAGTGCACACATGTGTGTGTGTGTGCTCATCCCCACTCACACTAGCACCGCTGCCGCTATGCAAACGGGGTGCCACGTGGTGAAAACAGGGCACTGCATGGCAAAAATTGGGTGCCACATGGTGAAAATGAGGCAAGTGCTAGTAATTGTCACACAGGCACTAGCACCACCCCATTTGCATCATGCATGCTCACAGCCCCTTGTGTGTGTGCATGCACATGTGCATAAATTGCTTCCCCCTCTCTTTCCCTCTGGTCTGCCAACTGAGAAAGGTTGGAGACCTCTGGACTAAAGCTCAAGAAACAGGATTTTGATTGCCTCAGGTCACTTATCTGAGCATACATGGAGACATTTGTTTCACTGGAGCTGTCTTCTAGGTCTTCTCTACCATAAACTTGAATGTAAGGGAAAGAAAAGTTTCATCAGACAAATAAAAGTTTGTGAATAGATTAGATATTCTACCCTCAAATGGCATAGGGTGGGTATTTGTAGAATTCTACCTTGGTGTCTTCTACTTATGTTTTTCGCATAGAACACAAAAGGAATGTAAAGATCAGAATAAAGTACAGGGATCAGACTTATATGTCTCTCTTATCTTTTACAGAAAACTTAGGTGACTCTTTTTGCTTAAAGATCCCACACTTTATTCAAATAGAAAGATTGACCACTCCTTACTTTAACCCTTTAGTATATTCTATAGGAAAGAGAAAAGTTAAAGAATTTAAATGAATTAAAGTGGTTTGCTCCTCAGAGTCAGTACTTCTGTTTTTGTCACTAAAGTCTTATATTTCATCATCACAGTTTTTTCTCCATATTTTAGAAATGGGAAAAGTTCAAATGTTTTATATTAAAATAAACTTGAAATTTTTGGAAAGGATTCCTTTTCAAATAATAATTAACCTGCTCATTGTTCTTTCTTTTATAATCAATCCTGAATAATACAACTGAGGAAAAAACTGCATTTTCATAGAAACAAGATTCCACAAGTTAACAGCTGAAGAACTCAAAATGAATAATAGTTGGCATATATACAGAAAGTAATTATAAGAAATATCGAATGCCTAGATGAGAAATTCCTTTATTTTTTTTTCCAGATATGGAAGATTGTTTTGAATGTGCAGAAGATCATTACCCAAATAAGGAAAAAAACAAATGCATCCTGAAATTGGTGGCCTTTCTAACTTTTGAAGAAAACTTAGGAATTGGTTTAGCCTCAACTGCTCTTTGTTTCTTCTTCTTGACCTCTTGGGTTCTTGGAACTTTTATTAAGCACAGGGATACTCCCATTGTTAAAGCCAACAATCGGTCCCTCACCTACTCCTTACTTGTCTCTCTTCTACTCTGTTTTCTCTCCTCTTTCTTCTTCCTCAGCCAACCTAGCAAAGTAACCTGCTTTCTCCGGCAATCAATGTTTGGCATCACTTTCTCAGTTGCTATTTCTAGTGTACTAGCCAAAACCATCACTGTGGTTGTTGCTTTCATGGCCACTAAACCAGGATCTCAGATGAGAAAATGGGTGGGAGAAAGATTGGCTTTTGGGACTATCCTTTCCTGCTCTCTATTCCAAATATGCATTTGTACTCTTTGGTTGTCAATATCACCCCCATTCCCTGAGTTAGACATGCAGTCAGAATCCCAAGAAATTATTTTACAATGCAATGAGGGGTCAGCTTTGTTCTTCTATTGCGTGCTGGGATACATGGGTATCTTGGCTATTGCCAGCTTTATTGTGGCTTTTCTTGCCCGTACATTACCTGACAGCTTCAATGAAGCCAAGTTCATCACGTTCAGCATGTTGGCCTTTTGCAGTGTTTGGGTCTCCTTCTTTCCAGCCTATCTGAGCACAAAAGGAAGAGCCATGGTAGCTGTGGAGATCTTCTCCATCTTGTCCTCTAGCGCTGCATTACTGGGATGCATATTTTTGCCAAAATGCTACATCATTGTTTTACAGCCACAACTCAACCACCGGAAGCAACTCATAAAGCAGAATTAGTGTACCTTGTGTTCTTTTTCAGTAGGAGAAATGAATGAGAAGTCTGCTTGCTATGTAGAGAAAACATATAGAAATTTTTCTTTCTATCAAAGGAGATTCATAGAGTATTATTCTTATTCTAAGTTTAATAAGGAAATAGTTGTGTTGTCTGCCCCTAATACCCTGTCCACTTTATCACAGGGTCAAATTGTTCTCAGATAACAGATTAAGTCTGTTTTCCAAGCATCTCTAATGGATTTGCACCATCCTTGGACTCAAACTGAGAGCAAATCTGATCCATCGGGTATTGCTCCTCTGCAACGTCCTGAAGATGATAATCTGAATCCTCCTTCCTGAGGAGGGACTGGGTGATCTTGAAAAGGTTATAGATGCAATAAGTGCAGAGAAATACTGATTTTCACTGCTCTTAACACCATAAAGTAGGTCTTAATCAGAGTTCTGACCTGTGGTAGGTCAGATTCATTCTTTTTCTTCAGCAGCTCTCTAGCCATCTCTTGGCCCTTTACAATACCCTCAGCTCCTCCATTAACCATGGTGAGTGTCAGGTCTCATGGGCCAGAAGAGGGCCATTTTTGGGGTCCTGTAAGAAATTCTTTGGTCCATCTGTCATCAAGGATGGGGGTGCAAACATAAGAGAATCTCAAGGCCACCATGTCTTGGTCTGATCATGACAGAGGGGATTTTGACTGATAACATTGTCACTGCTCTGACAAGGTCAGTTCTATAGTGTGACCATGGTCTTGATTTGGCATGGATGACCTGGATAGGCCCGTAGTGTTGTCATGGTGGCCATGAACTCCTGAGCTTCTTCCAAGATCAAGCAGCATGCCAAGCAGATTGAAGTCCCTCAGGTCTATAAGCCTGAGGAACCTGACTACCAAGTCTGAGACGGCCTCCAGGAGCTCAGGTAGGGAGTTTGCTATATAGCAAGGAGACTAGAATAGGTTTTGTTGTCTTCACCTTGAGCTGAATTTCACTGAGAGAATCCACTCTTCTTGATGTGCTTCTGGGAGATATATTCTTCCAATATTTCATATGTTCTTTGACTCGAGTGCAAAAAGAATACTAAGGATCAGAAAGGAAGGCTTCTTTCATTTATTGGACTTTCTCTCTGGCTTCTGTTTCAGTGGCACTTAGCTATTCACAAAATATCACTAGTTTAGAAAAGCAGGTGGGAAGTTCCTCTTCCTGATATTTGATTCTCTTGCACTTTCACATGACTAATTTCCTCAATATCCCATGTCATATCTATGAAAGTATTGTTTCACCATACTAATAGCATTCATAGTATTCATAGTGGTACAGAAATTGACTCTGGCCTAATATGCAAAATTAAGCTAAGGGTCAAAGATTACAAAGAAGAGACCTTACAAAGACTGAAATCATTGTTCTTAAATGCTGTAACCAGTTCAACCTCTTGGCCACTAAAGCCCATCAATATATTCCTTCTACCACTGTTCCCATAATCTGCTTGAGTTTTGTTTGATAATATTCTCCCATCTTAAGTATATAGTTGAAATGAAAAGCAATTGAAAATTTTAGTTTGGGGACTGCTAGGTAAAAGAGAATGGGGAGATGGGACTAAGGGAGAAATAGCTGGTAAGCAAAATTAAGCTCCAGCCAAATTGGATCAAAAAGGGATGAATGGATGCAGCGAAGGTTGAAATTGCCCAAGAAGTCTGCTGCTATTTATCTATACTAATATCATTCTTTGGTCTTGTGTTGTATTTGTAGTTTTGGTTAGCAACTCTTTGGTGCCCCCCAGAGGAAACCTTTCAAATTTAAGCACAGAGAAAGAATTCTCTCCCTCTGCATTTCTCATATAGTAAAACAAAGCTCTGGCTTCTGCCATTAAGCTGATGATCTGAAGAGAGACGTTTGAAATAAATGTTGGGCTCCATTGCCTCTTTCTCTTTATCCACTCCATCAGCTAGATATCTCACTGGGTGCATCTTAGTTTGTGTGAGTTTTTCCATATTTGCCAGCTGCCACCTTATGCTTGCTTGTGCTTTGCTGCTATGTGATGACAGACTGCCATGAACTGTGGGGAGGGAGAATGAAGGTGGGAATGGTTGGGGAAATGAAAGTAAGTGCTGTATCAAGTTCATCCAGCTGGAAGAAAGAGGGGACTGCATACCAAACTGTGCTTAGACTGACCATTATGAAAACTTCTTGCATGGACCTGATTGGTTACACTGGGGTGGACAATGACAGATAGTTAAGGGAGGAAAAGTAGAACTTAGGGATTTGGGCATGTGATTCACAAGTCTGGCTTTGCAATACTGCAATACATTTGACCTCTAATAAACTATACCTTTCTCAACAAATGGATCCAAGGATCATTTCTGTTTAGAGGTTTAAGTTGTGGCATTGCCTCTTTTCTCCTTTACCCACTCCATCAAATAGATCCTTATAGTGAATTCATGCTTGATGAATTTTAATTTGTGAGTTTTCCAACACTGTTGTGTAAAATGAAATCTGATATTGTGAGTTAGGAAGCAGTGGGGGAGAGAGAGGGAAAACAAAAGAAAAAAAATGAGAACAACTTTCATCTCTTTGGAAATTGTGAGGCGTAGATGACCACAAATTTTACTATGGAGTTAAACCCTCTGCTGGAATTAGTCTCCAAAATGTTAGAAGCCCATAGTAAGATCTAAGGCTACAGTTACCTGTCCCTTTCCAAATAGAATAAAAAAATGTACTCACTGTCATGGCTAGTGTTAGTATAATAATAATAATAATAATAATAATAATAATAATAATAATAATAATAATAATAATAATAATAATAATAATAATAATAATAATAATAATAATAATAATAATAATAATAATAATAATAATAAAGTTGGACGGGACCTTGGAGGTCATCGAGTCCAACCCCCTGCTCAGACAGGAAACCCTACACCATTTCAGACAAATGGCTGTCCAGTCTCTTCTTAAAAACTTCCAGTGTTGGAGAATTCACCGCTTCTGGAGGCAGATTGTTCCATTGGTTAATTGTTCTAACTGTCAGGAAGTTTCTCCTTAGTTCTAGGTTGCTTCTCTCCTTGATTATTTTCCATCCGTTGCTTCTTGTCCTGCCCTCAGGCGCTTTGGAGAATAGCTTGACTCCCTCTTCTTTGTGGCAAAATGTCACCCAACTTATACATTGCGGAAACAATAGAGGTATCCCTCTCCCTTCTATAAAAAACATATAAAGAACAGTTGCTGGAATTGGATATGACTAGTCTAATGAAAAGAAGGACTAGGGGTGACATGATAGCAGTGTTCCAGTATCTCAGGGGTTGCCACAAAGAAGAGGGAGTAAAGCTATTCAAGGAGAGAAGCAACCTAGAACTAAGAAAACATTTCCTGACAGAATAATTAACCAGTGGAACAACTTGCCTCCAGAAATTGTGAATGCTCCAACATTGGACGATTTTAAGAAGAGATTGGACAACCATTTATCTGAAACGGTATAAGGCTTCCTGCTTGAGCAGGGGATTGGACTAGAAGACCTCCAAGTTCCCATTCTTCTCTTCTCTTCTCTTCTCTTCTCTTCTCTTCTCTTCTCTTCTCTTCTATTCTATTCTATTCTATTCTATTCTATTCTATTCTATTCTATTCTGTGGGGGATGGGAAAAGAAATAATGGAAAACCTCTTAAAATGTGGGAATGACATAACATAACCTGGAATTAAGGAGAAACTTCCTGACTGTGAGGACAATTAACCAGTGGAAGAGCTTGTCTTTAGAAATCATGGGCGCTCCATCACTGGAGATTTTTAAGAAGAGGCTAGACAGTCACTTGTCTGAGATGGTATAGATTCCCTGCTTGAGCAGGGGGCTGGACTAGAAGACCTCCAAGGTCCCTTCCAGCTTCTATTCTATTCTATTCTATTCTATTCTATTCTATTCTATTCTATTCTTGTTAACACTATGCAAAGGAAGATGGACTGCATTTATCATCTGTTGTGAGAAATAATATGAATTTTAAAAAATCATGTCTATTTTGTATTGTCAACCCTCTCTATACATTGTATAGAGGTGGAGAAGTTAGCAACTAAAAAAACACATTTAACTTCAGCTGTGTCTTCTCTCACAAAAAACAAAATAATTATCTCCTACAGGAATCACCATATTTTCTTAATTAGACAAAAATATCAAATACTGCACAGAAGGCTATTTAAATTCAACAACAATCAATGTACAGTATCTGTATGAGTATAAAGTAACACTTGAACCACAGCAATATTGGCACATAGGTAATAAAGGCTGTGTGTCAGTCATTGCTACAAATTGCCTCTCTCTGTTCTCCTCTGCCAGAATATCAGAATACCTGATGATAGCAATAGCAATATCCCTTAGATTTATATACCTCTTAGCACTCTCTAAGCAGTTTTCAGAGTCAGCACATTGTCTTCAACAATCTGGGTCCTCATTTTACTGACCTCAGAAGGATGAAAGGCTGAGTCAATCTTGAGCTGGTCAGGATAGAACTGCCAAACTGCAGAAGTAGCCTGCAGTACTGCATTCTAACCACTGTGCCACCATGGCTTTTATTGATATTAAGACACAAATTTTCATTCTCTTGGATCTTCAAATAGACAATGGTGAATTTTTTGATTAGGTGCACTCTCAGATGCAAATCTTGAATTAATTACTGAATTAACCATTGGAATAATACAAACTTTCCTATGATAAAGGATAGGATAGGATAGGATAGGATAGGATAGGATAGGAGAGGAGAGGAGAGGAGAGGAGACATTTTGCCTATAACAATGAAGTTAAAATGTTGCTCCTTCTAATGTTCCTGGTGAAAAAAAATAGTTACTCTGAAAGTAACTAGAAGTGATGCTTTCCCTGTTCCACACAAGTGGTACCAGCCTGGTGACCTCATCATTGGTGGAATGATGTCTCACATCTTTTTCCACTTTTATGACATTCAATTTAAGGAACATCCTTGTATAAAGCCTTATGACTTACCACTGTAAGGATTTTTATTTCTTTTTTTTAATC